CAGGCCGGCACTCAATCCACTAAGCCACACTGACCAGGGCTAAATGGTAGTATTATTATAACTTTGGTTTGTAATTCCACACTTTGTTTCCTACCTACTTTAAGAAACAATGCATTAAGACCAATTAGTAGTCTATGATTTTAGATGCATGATATATAAAGATTTAATTTTGCCACATCAATAATTGAAAAGTGATAGCAGAATGTATAGCAGTAGAGCTGTTTTATGTTATTAAAGCTAAGCTGGTATAAATTTAATTATATTGATATAACTTTAGGATTTTAAGTGTAATCCCTATAAAAACCACAAAGAAAATAGCTGTAGAATATATGCAAAAGGAAACTAAATATTTCACTACAAAAAAAATAAACTCAATGCAAAAGAAGACAGTAATTCTGGGAATGGGGAACCAAAAAAGCTATAAGTGCATAGCAAATAGCAAAATGCCAGTTCCTGATCAGTAATTACTTTAAATATTAAAGAATTAAACTTTTCAATCAAAAAACAGAGACTGGCAAAATGGATAAAAACATGTCATTTTATATCCAAAGACACAACTAGATCAAAAGTAAAAAGATGAAAAAAATATTCCATCCAATACTAACTGAAAGAGAACAGGAATGGCTCTAGTATTATCAAACAAAATAGACTTTAAGTCAAAAGAAGTTTACAAGATATAAAGAACATTATACATTAATAAAAGGTTCAATACAGCAAGAAGATATATTTACCCACCTATTAACAAACCGTCAAAATATATTAAGCAAAATGAATAAAACTAAAGGAAAAAATAGACAATTCTACAATAACAGTTGGATACTTCAATACCCCATTCTCAGTAATGGGTAGAAACACCAGAGATACGATAAGTAAGGAAATAGAGGACTTAACACAATAAACCAAGCAAATCTAACAAACATACTTGAATACCCTACCCAACAGCAATAGAATATACTTTTTTCTTAAGTGCAATGGGACAGTCTCCAGAATAAACAACATGTTAGACTGTGAGTCAAGTCTCAATAATTTTAAAAGAAAGATATGATACAAAGTGTCCTCAACCACAGTGTAATGAAGTTATAAGTCAATAACAGAATGAAAACTGGGAATTTACAAATTTGTGAAAATTACACAATCTTTTCTTCCCATTATATTTTTCCATTTATTTAGGCCTTTGATTTCTTTCAACAGTATATCATAGTTTTCCACATACAGATGCTGCACATATTTTGTTAGATTTGTACCTTAGCATTTCATTTTTCAATGCTATTATAAATAACACTGCAAAAATTAATTTGTTCATTGCAAGTATATAAAAATACAGTTGATTTTTGCATATTATCTCTATCCTGTGACTTCACTAAGTGAATTATTAACTCTAGGAGCTTTTTTGTAGAGTTCATGAAGTTTTTTTGTTTTGTTTATATTTTATTGTTTATACTATTTCTAAACAACCAATGGGTCAATGTATTAGTCACCTTAGGCTACCATAGCAAAATACCACAGACTGAGTGGTTTAAGCAAAAGACACTTCTCTATTCTGGAGGCTCCAAAGTGCACAATCAAGAGGGCAGTCAATTTAGTTCCTGGTGAAGGCCCACTTTCTGTCTTGTGGACAACCACCTTCCTGCTTAGTTCTCACATGGCAGAGAGGTCAGTTTTCTCTTTCTCTTCTTATGACATTAATGTCATCAGGTGGGCCCACCATCATGACGTCATCTAAACTTAATTGCCTGCAAAATGCATAACTCCAACTACTACTACATTGGGGGGTATGCCTTGAACATATGAATTTGGGGTGGGGGGCACAATCGGTCCATAATATTCTGCCCATGGCGCCCTTAAGAATCATGAATACATGCAAAATAAATTTATTTCATCTCAGAAGTCTCAACCAATAGCAGTTTCAACTCTAAAATCTAGTCTTATCAAAATATTTAAATCAGATATGGGTGAAACACAACGTGATTCATCCTGAGGCAAAACTCTTCTCCAGCTATGAACCTGTGAAACCAGAGAAGTTATATGCTTCAAAATACAGCATGGGACAGGCATGGGTAACCATTCTCATTCCAAAAGGGAGAAATTAGAAGAAAAGAATGATCGTTCCAAGCAAGTTCAAAATCCAGTAAGACAAATATCATTAGATCTTATGGTTTAATGCTCTGCTCTCTGACCCATTGGGGTGGAGGTCCTGCCTCCAGGACCCACTGGGATGGCAATCCCACTCTTGTGGCTCTGCTGGGTGGGTTGCCAGCCAGCAGATCTGGGTGGCCCCACCCCCAAGTCTCCAGGAGGCCACTGTCTGGCCAGTTGAAATTAGGTCTGATGATCTCTGAATTGCCGTCAGGACAATTCTTCCCTTGTCTTGAAGAATAGCACACATTCACAGCCAAATAGCTCGATGGTCCAGTCCCGCAGGACCTAAGAAGTCCAATAACCTTCCTTCATTTAGTCTCGGTTGCATCCCTTTCAGTTCAAACTGGCAGTGTTTCAGATGAGGTTGTTGATTAGATCTGTAGTTCACACATATGCTAATCTCCTTATCAAAAGGTTGTTGAACCACACCCTTAGCGTACTCTTCAGAACAAACTTTCTCATTGTTTGCAACACGGACAGACTGAGAATTTTCCAAAGTTTTAAAGTTCTGGTTCTTTTTGCTTAACAATTCCTTCTTCAACTCATTTATCTCTTTTTGCACTTTACTAAAATATAAGCAGCCAGGAGGCACTAAGCTTCTCCTTCGACACTGTTTAAAAATCTCAGCTAAACACTTAATTTCATCTCTCACAAGTTCTACTTTCCACAAAACACCAGAATACAATCACAGCTCAGCCAAGTCTCTGCCACTTTGTAATAAGAATTACCCTTTCCCTATTGGCTAATAACATTCCGCATTCCCATTGGAGACCTCACCAGAATAGCCTTTAATGTCATATTTCCACCAACATTATGTTCATGACTATTTATATATTCTCTAAGAAAATGAAAGCTTTCTGAATAGCTCTCTTTTCTTTCTGAGCCTTTCCTGGATCACCAATAACTGCTCTTTCATGGCAAACCTTACTTTTCATAGTATGAACCTCAAAACATTCCCAAACTATACCTGTTACCAAGCTCCAAAGCTGCTGCCACATTTTTAGGTACCACATTTTGCCATGTACAATGCACACCCACTTTTTAGTACTAATTACCATGTATAATGCTCATCCTTACTTTTCCCTCAAAAATTTGGATAAAAAGTTTGCATTATAGATGGCAAAAGACAGTATTCCTTTCAGCAGTACCCCAAAATTCTGTCTTAGCTTGGTCTGCTCTCACAACGTGCCATAGCCTGGGTAGCTTAAACTACAGATATTCATAGGCTGGAAGATATTTTACAGGCTGGCCGTCGGAGATCAGGGTGCCCTCACGACTAGGTTTTGATGAGAGCCCTCTTCCTGGCTTGCAGACAGCCATCTTCTCGCCCTGTGCTCAACATGGCCTTTCCTCGGTGTATGCACATGGGCGAATCAGCAGACAGACAGTAAGTGAGGAAATAAAAGGCTTGAACAACACAATGAACCAACCATATCAAATATATATATAAACACTCTACCCAGTAACCACAGCAAACACTTTCTTCTGAGACATCTTTCTCTCTTTCTCTTCTTACGGCACTAATCCCATCATGAGGGTTACACTCTCGAGACCTCATCTAAACCATCATCTCCCAAAGGACCCACCTCCAAATACCATCACAGTGGGAGTTAAAGCATCAGCATACAAACAGTGAGGGCAGACAAACTTTCAACTCATAACAGGTATCATGAAGATTTTATTATTCATTCACATACCAGTGAGATTTACTATCTTGTTTTCATAGATTTAATAAGCATTTACTGTTTTGAATAGCCACTTTATGTCATTGCCCATTTTCCTACTGAATAGTTCATTTTTAGCTTTTCTATTTGTAAGAGCTCTTTACATTGCATGGAAACTAACATTTTGTTACATGTGGAGTAAAATTTTATGGTTTGTTCTTTTGAATTTTGTTAACAGTAATTTAATATATAAGTAAATTGTTAATTATGATGTTCAATTACTATTAATAAAATAACTTTATATCTGCAATATAATTACTTTTTTACTTTGATTCCTGCTTTGGTATCATTCATAGAAATACTAGCACAACTTCAACATCATAGGAAATTAGCAAGGAATGTTAGTAATAAGAATGGTAAATTTACTAATAATCACTGCCATTTATTGAGTATCTATTATGTATCAGATACTCCACATAAATTATTCTTCTTAAGCTTTACAACAGATCTATGAAGTTATCACTATTCCCATTCTACAGATCAGGAAACTGAGGCAGAAAGAGGACAAAGTAACTTGCCTATAATCCTGAAACTTGCAATGTTGGAGCTGAGATTCAGTCCCTTTGTTATGTACAAACTCAACACTTTGTAAACAGATAAATAGACCTGGGACCACATGCTGGCTGGTAGGTGTGTTATCATGTGGTACCCTTCACCCCTCTGAGTCCTGTTGTCACCTATAAAATTTGCTTAATAATAACTCCCTCATAGAGTTGCTGAGCGATTTAATTGAGAAGAAACATGCAATGTGCCCAGCACATAACACAGTCATAGAAGAGAGACAGCCACCACCCTTCTTTGCTGGAATGCCTGAGCTCTTCCCTCCCCTCTGTTGTGGGGTGTGGTGGAAGGGCAGTGAGATAGAGAGTGAAGGAGTGCAGCTGCGAGGGGCAGAGGTGGCAATTCCAGGCGTAGCCCATCTAAGTGAGGAACAGAGTGAGGTGAAGCCTCAGCCTGCAGGAGACCCACCCTGGGAGGGACTCAGGTGCCTCCAGCACAGGGAGGCAGGCCTTTCCAAGTGTGGGAGGCTGGGGTGGGGCTGGGTCAGGAAAATCTCTCCACTGCTCTGAAGCAGCCACGCTTGCTCAGGAGGAGAGCCCTGTGAGGTTGCTGATCATCTTCCAGCTCTTGCCCTGTTGGCCCGGACACACACACAGAGACAATGGGGAACCTTGAGGGACACCTGCTTCCAGCGCTGTCCTTCTTCTTCTACTCACTCTACTACTCAGTGCGGGCATCCTTGGCCTTGCTACGGGGACAGAAGTTTTTTAACCCTCTACCCCCAAGGGAGAAGCGAGGACACAGTTGGTGGAAGCAGGTACCTGTGGAAGGAATGGTGAAGGTCGTTATCAGCCTGACTGGCATGATAGCCGACTTCTTCTACCCCCCAGGAGTCAACCGGCTGAAGATAATAGACTGGGAGGACCCTCGGCGGCCATTCTTGTTCCCAAATAGCTGGCAGCATGTCACCATGTATGGGTTCTTCCTGCTCAGTGGCGTGGTGGACATTGTGAGCCAGTCGTGCCTGGCACGGCAGAGCATGAAGCTGGAGCGAGCAGCCGAGGCCCTGGCCTGCTGTATGCTGGCGCTGCTGATGGCAGCCCACATTGAGCACAAGGACAGCCTGGAGATCCGCCTGCACGTTCTCTTCATAGTGCCTGCCTTGCTGGTCGGCCTGGTGCTCCTCATCGAGGTCTGGGTCCCTGACCAGCCCCCGCTCTGGCTGCTCAAGTCCTGGATGGGGCTGGTGTTCAGCACCTGGCTGCTGCAGATCTGCATGGTGCTGTACGTTCCTCCCTCCGGGCAGCCCTGGAGGTCAGAAAACCCCGTGGACCTCGCCTTCCTCACCATCTTCTTCTGCTGGCATTTGATTTTAGGGGCAGGCATTCTGGCTGCTGTCTATGGCATCTGCAGCCTATGGCATCATCACTGCTCCTCATGGACAGAAGCTGCAGGTACCAAGTACCAGCCATGCCCCACAGGCTACAGCAGCGAAGAGCTGGAGAAGCTCAGGGCAGGGGCCGAGCTGCAGGACCCGGGCGTCTAGGTTTAGAATCTGTCTTGGGCTAGCCTTCTGCAATGAAAGTTTTGAGGCTGCCCGTGGAGTGCATAGCATGGGGTCTACAAGTGGCTTTCCATCACACGGTCATCTTCCTTGTTCCTAAATAAACCTTCACGCTCCTAGCAGAACTTTCGTCCACCACTCGGATCTCTCCGGGTCTGTGCCTTTCCTGCCCCACTATTCAGGGTGGTACCAGGCCATGGACTTTCATGAAGCGAGAACAAGGAGCGGTGCTTTTCCCTGACAGGCTTTGGGATCCAAGAGGAGAAAATGAAATGAGAAAATAGAGGGAGATGGAGTGTCACTGGGGACCCCAGGAGGCTTCTACCCTTCTGAGGCAAGGCCGGCGGTGTGCGTGTGTGTGTCTACTGCTGAAGCACTTCACTGTGTGAAAGAGAGGGGTCCATTTTATTTTTGCATAATAGCGAGGGCTTCTGTTTTCTTCATTTTTCTCTACTTTTTACTTAAAGTGTAGCAGAATTAAGGACTTGTTTTGTTGTTGCTTTTTAATCTGAGTGGAATGAGGTTACTTCTGCCTTCAGAGGGAGTAAGGGATGAGGGGAAAGACATAGCAAATAACTTAGCAGAGAACCATGTCTGAGGAGAAAGGAGGCAAGAGAGGAATTGCCAAAAGTGGTTGTAAGAAATGTGAATCATACTTATTTAATTTAACTTGTTTGTGTTTTGCTGTGATATAAAACAACTCCGTTGTTCCTACTTGTTCAGTAAAGTCTATGACACATATATGTCTGTGTGTGTGGTTCTTGGGTAACATAAAAAAAGAAAAAAAGCCCTGATTGCAGTCCATGGGAGCGGAAGGGAAGGAACTGCCATGAAATGTGGGGTACAGCTGAGCCCAGTGGTGCTGACGATGCAGGAATGCAGAGCTGAGAGGGACCCTGAGCATGTCAGCCCCCTGGAATTGGCAGAAATTTCCACCTAGTCATTGAGCTTCTCTCCCAGAAGGAGGAGAGAAGGTGCTAGTAAATCAGAGGCTCTGTGAATATATGAAAGCAAACAATCCAAAAATACTTATCTCTGGGCACAGTGAGAGAACCACCGCTTTGAACAGCATGAGTGTGCTTCTGTGAGAGAGAGACGCTCAGTGTTCGGAAGTCCGACGAGGCTGGAAGCGGGGGGGCGGTGCTGCCTGCTGTCCATAGTTGTGGAGAAAGGACCATAGAGGAAAGAGCCCACTCAGGAAGCAGCTGCAATTATACCACCTTTCCCACAGTCAGAAATGCTGTCCTCAGAGACTGAAAAGCTTCAGGAAGTACAGACAGGCATTTGCATTTGCAGGGTGGAAGACAAGGCAGGCTACAGGTTGTCATCTGAAATGTCACTGGACACTCCCTAAAAAAACAGTGTGCAAAGGCGTGCAAAGAGGCCCTGGAACCTCTGGGACAAGGGGTTAGGACAGAGAAGTGGAGCAAGGGAAGGGATGGAAGTGGGACAAGGATCTGGCAACTCTTGCTGGCAGGGCTTGGAGGGAAGGGGTGCTCTGGATCTGGAGGAAGAGAAATGTATCTTTCTCCAGCCGTTGGGACAAGGCCAGCAACCAAGCTGAGAGGCCAAAGCCCTTCTTCCTGTCCCTGCGCTTAGAAGCCCGCAAGCAGAGGGAGACTTACCCTGAAGCTCATAAAACTGAAGCTCCAGAGCCCCTCACATTACATCTTCCCTCCTAAGCCCTGGTCGGGGCCATCCCAAGGCATTCATAGGATCACATATCACTGGAAATTGCAGAAGTCAGATATCTCTCTATTCTTTTCTCTAACTAGGGACTTCAAATTGTATAAACTTAAGATTCCATAAAACTTGGCATGCCTCCACCCCCAAGGCTTAAGACAGATTTACTTTCAGGATGTCTTACGATAAAGTGGAAAATCCTTTATTTAAGAATAATGTAGAATCTTCCTTCTTCAACTTGGAAACAAGAAGCTTAAAAATGCTAATAACATCACACACTGGCAGAAAACCACCTGCTAGAGGATAACCTAGTCAACAGCTATAAATGAGTGTTATCAGATGCTGTGCCTGATTTAATGAGGAGGAGGTAGAGGTGGGGAAGACTAAAGGCTGGGGGCAGAGAGGAAGCAATTTACAGAGGTGGGTCCTGTTGATCTTCACTTGTGCTGTGCCAAGGGGTTTTTGTTCAGTACATATAGCCCTTAGCCAGTGCATTGGTCAGGGTTCCCTAGAAAAACAGAAGCAATAGGATGGGAACAGATAGAAATTTTAAGGAATTGGCTCACGAGATTGTGAGGGCAGGCCAGTAGGTCAGAGACCCAGCTGCCATCTTGAGTCTAAGGGCAGTCTGGAGGCAGAATTCCTTCTTCCTCAAGGCACCTCAGTCTTTTCTTTTGAGGCCTTTATCTGATTGGATGAGGCCCACCCACAGTATGGAGGGTGATCTGCTTAATCAAAGTCTACTGATTTAAATGTTAATCACATCTAAAAATATATCTTCACAGCAACATTTAGTCTGGTGTTTGACCAAGCACCTGGGTACCATGGCCTAGCCAAGAAAAAACATAAAATTAACCACCATACACAGCATATTGGAACGTGGCCACTCAAATATGATTTCTATATATCAACTGTGTCTGTCATGATCTTTGCAAACCTTCCCAATTAATTATGGTAACTTTACTTTAATGGAACTTCATCTTTATACGTCCTGATTGCATTGTGACTGTGATTATATAGTGTTACA